CACAAAATGTCACTTTTATCCTAAGCTGGCCTACACTGTCCATCCTATTGCCTTAGCCTCACTGAGGACTCAGAGATGCTTAGACTATACTGGGATGTAGGGTCTTTGTGACAAAGACAAGAAGAAACCCTGTGAAAAAATTAAACCACATGTCTTTATTATCTGGTATAATAAAGACAATTCCATAACAACATAGATTAGAACACTGGAGGAAATTTTTTTCCTGCAAGTCAGGTCTTTCATTAATTTGGGTTTTTCAGATAAGACCAGTCATATCTAACAACAGGGAAGGCATAATAAAAGTGTGTGTGTATGTTCTTTCAAAATTCCAGCATTCCTTGTGTGTCAATAATCCCTGCATCAGGAAGCAGAAGCAGGAGGATATGAGTGCCAGGCCAACCCACTAAGTAGGCTGTAGGTCCCAGACTGGCCCATGGAGTATGAGGTTGTGAGTTTCAGTGTAGGCAGAGCTACATACAAATCTCATTCCAGGCCAGCCTGCATTACATAGCCAAGTCTTTGTTAAAATACAAAACGAGAACATATGCAACTCCATGCTTATTGAAGTACTAGTGGTTCACAATAGCCAGGATATGGAAACAACCCAGATGTCCCACCACAGATGAATGGATCCAAAAACTGTGGTATCTATACATAATGGAATATTATGCAGCCATTAGAAACAACAAAATAATGCCATTTGCTAGGAAATGGATAGAGCTAGAAGAAATCATGTTGAGCAAGGTAAGCCAAGAACAAAGTGACAAATGGCACATGGTCTCCACATGGTAAGTGGATGTTAAAGCCAAAATGTAAGGTGATACGACAAAATTAACAAGACTTAAGAAACAAAGGATGTCTACTCATCTGGTCAAATCACTACTAAATAATAACCCCATGCTGCTGATCACATATATGGTATATATGTGCACACCAGAGGGAAACCAGGAGGATGACACAGAACTAGAGGGAATCAGGGAAAAACATACAACAGTGGGACCCATCAGGTGCACTGGACATTGATCAAGATGAACTAAGCAACTCAATGGCAGCAATGGGAGGGAGGGAGGGAAAAAGTGCGAAAGAGGGAACAGCTGAAGTTATGCAAAATACAAGAATTGTACATATCACCCAATGTGGAAGAAATAACTGTATTGCAAAGCTCATAGAACTCACAAATGTTATATACCATGATAGACAATTTGGCCCATGAAAGTTAGAATGTGTTTGTGACTTTAACTAATCATCACTATCCCACAATACTGTGAAATTTGGGAAATTATGTAACCACTTAATCACAATAAAAAATTGGAAAAAAAAGAAAGCATGACATTGTCCCATTTGCTAGAAAATGGAAATTGAAGTAAGTGAAGTAAGCCAGGCTCAAAGAAACAGTTCCCATGGTTTCCCTTATTTGCAATAACAAGTATATATCTGAGACAAGCAGAAAAGGTCAGATAAGATGACACAAAGCAAAATGAACCCCAAGATAAGGCCTCAAGTGTTTTTTTTCTTGCTATTGTTTCTGAAATATTTATAAGGTACCATATGAATTGTTTGTTGCTTAGTATGTTCCTCACCCCAAGGTATAACCCCTGTTTTCACTGTATTTGATGTTGGTATAATTTGGAGAGCTGAAGGGAAAAAACTAATTGTTTAAATAGGGATACAGGTTAATGCATTGCAATAATGAGCTATACAAGACAGTATGTTGAAAAACGAACTTTACAATTTAGGTGAGGGCTGGGGCGGGGGAGGGGAGATGTAGTTGTGGAGATTGGAGGGAAGGGATGGTAGGGGAAAACAAAGCAGGGGGCAACAATGTTTGATAAGAAATGTACTTGTTACCTTGCTCATGTGATTGTAACCCCTCTGTACAGTATTTGCACAATAAAAAACATTAAAAAGTACAAAACAAGAGTTGGAGGTGTGGCTCCAGTCGTAGCATTCCTGCTGAGAAATCCAGAGCCATGAGTTAAGTTCCAGGATGTGGCTAGGAATCCTAAACCAGAAAACTGAATTCCAATAATCCATGAGAGCTGAAATCCATCATATTACAAATCAAAACTTTTCCTCTTAAGCTATAATTTCAAAATGTTACCATACACCTTAAGGTAAACTGAGATGAGACAGTAATGTTCATGCACATCCATAAAAGATAAAATTCTAAAGTGGACTTACATATAATACATTTTACTTGAATTTGACTTAAATAAATAAGAAAAATTTGACAAAAGGGGTGATGGGATATACCCAGAATGCTGAAATCTGAGGATTATGGATTGATACCAGCCACCCAAAAAGCCCAAGTGAATAGTCACTAAAATGTAATAGCAAAATGCTGTACATAGATGTATGATTCATTTGATAGAGTACCAGTCAAAAGTGAAAAGGCAAAGTATGAACTCAAGGAAGAGTCAAAGTCTCAGTTCCAGAGCAACAACAACAACAACAACAAATTCAATTTGGAGCCAGGTATTTAGAAACTCTCAACAATGAACCTAGATACTCAGGATGCTGATAAGTGCGGATCAAGGTTCAAAGTTATCTACAGCAGAAAAAATCTGTGAGACTTAACTGAGATTAGCTACCAAAAAGCCAGAAATGGTGCTCTATGCCAAGTAGTAAAGTATCAACCTTGAGCACAAAAACTCAGAGACAGTAGCCAGGCCTTGAGTTAAAACCCAGGCCCAGCACAGAAGAAAAGTATTCTCTGATATTCCAGACAATTTATGTGTGACTCAGTCATTAAACATTTTTTAAAGGATCATTATATATTAACATCATAGTGATCTTTAGAATTATTTGTTTTTTTTTCCTTGCTACTTGAGAGGCAGAGATAAGGGAAGAAGTTTCATGGCCAGCCTGGACATGAAAGTTCCTGACAATGGCAAAGTAAAGTGGTGGGTACCTATTCTTCCAGCCCCAAGCAAAGGACAATGGCTGGGTATATTGGAATTCACTTGTCTTCTCTAGCAACAGGGAAAGCATACTCAGGAAATGCATAGATTGGCTGGTCCTAAATTGAGAACCTACCTTGAAAATCACCAAGGTGAAGAGGTGCTTGAGCTTGACTTAAGCAGTAAAGCATTTGTGGCCTTGAGTAGAGCTCTGAGTACCAATGTTTTTCTTCCTTTTTGTTTTCATTTTCTTTATAAAATGAGGATTGCAGGAGTGTTTTTGATAGGAGGAAGAAAGAGAGTGAGACAGAGAGAGATAGAGAGAGACAGGTAGAGTCAGAGAGAGAGAGAGAGAGACAGAGAGGTTTCCTAGCCTCTGCTAAGCAGAGATTTATACTGAGCCTATAATTGCTAGGATAATGAGTGCCTACAATACACAAAGATTTTTCCTAAATATCATTGATGCTGAGTTGAGACCCTTCATCCAGCTTTTAATTACATTATGTTAAATGACTATGATGCAGTCATCTAAGAAATCAACATTGTGTCCAAATTATTGAGTACATCACAATGTTTATTATAATTGCTCCAATTTTTACCAGAGTCTGTCACTGTTTCCTTCTCACTCTTGGCCATCCGTCTTTCCTCTTCTTCATTTTTCTTTCCTTTTATTCTGTTTCTATGTGTATGTATGTGCGTGCCCCTACATCTGTCTTGGGGCTAGAGCTCAGGGCCTGGAGGTGTCCCTGAGCTTCTTTTAATCGACGAAGCTAGTAATCTATTGGCATTTGGGGGATAGCTTACCAGAGACAGTCTCAGGTACAGTCACTCCTTGCCAGGCTGGCTTCAATCACCAATTGTCGGGACAAGGTTTTGAGTGGTTAGGATTACAGTTGAGACCCGCCAACACCTGTCAGCCTTTCAGCATCCCTTCAAATAGGAATGAAGAGGAACTGGGTTCTGTTTGTGCTATGATAGTGAGCCAGAATGGAGCGGGAGTAATCAAGTTCCGTTCTGGTGAAAATGAACCAGTCCTGCACTCGAACACTAGCCGTCCTGGAAGACCGGCTTCCTGGAAGTGCCAGTCTTGCCCCAGCTCCCTAGGAAGGCGGGCTTCCGGAAGGCAAGGGTCCCGCCCCGCCTCCAGACCATTAGGAAGGCGAGCTTCCTGGAGGCACCAATCCCACTCCTAGAACCCAGCTCTCCGGAAAGGCGGGCTTCTTGGAGGTGCTGGTTCCTCCCCCTATCCCCAGTCCTCCGGGAAGGTGGGCTTTCTGGAGGCGCCTCAGGTCTTCAAGTCCCAGAACTCCGGAAAGGCCGGCTACCTGGAGGCTCCAGTCCCAACCCCAGCCCCCAGCCTCTGGGAAGGTTGGCTCCTTGGAGACCTTGGTTCTTTAGGGTCTCTGGACAAACCAGCGAGTGGTGAGGACCAGCAGTACTGCATGGCAAGTAGAGGAGAATGAGTGGCTGACAGGATGCCCCAGGAAGAGGTAATCGCTTTAGGAGCCAACCCAATGGGAGAGGGGTCAGCATGAGAGGAAGATAGCAGGGAGGGGAAGAAGGGGGCGACACGAGGTGGCAGTGGAGGGCAGGCCTAGTGGGGATGTAAGGGCAGGTGGCAAGCAATAAGGGGAGGCCATTGGCAATGAGTGGGGGATGGCAGACCATGCTAGAAGAGTAGTGGATATGTGGCACAATGGGGAAAGTAGCATAAGGAGAGTGAAGGAGTTTTAAGGGGAGGAGAAGTTTGGAAGGCATAGAGGTGGAAGCCAACGACACTGGCACATGGGGAACAATAGGAGAGGGAAAAAGGAAAGAGAGGGGACTAGAGGAATATGCCCAAGAGTAGGGAGAGATGGCCCTCCAGAATGGGAAGGAAAGGACAGGCACGGGGAAGTACAACCGGGTGAACCAACACCACTTGGACCTCTGCATCCAAGAACTCTGCACTGCCCACTGCTGGTAGTAGTTGGGGCAGGCTTAAGGATCCCCTGTGAAAGCTTCTGGCCATGTTGAGGCCTGGGTGGAGGCAGCACTGACTCAGGGGAAGGAGGCAATGTTGCTTCTGTTGCTGCTGCTGGATAGCATGGAGTTTTGGAGATGTTTACTGAGGAAGCTTTGGGGCAGGGGCAGCAGCGGGAGAACCCCATGGCTGAGAAAGATGAGCTTGAACTGGGCCACCTCTCAGAGAATTTGGACCACAAAGCAGAAGAGAGAAAGCCAGGATCAGCCAAGCCAACACCTACAGCTTTCCAGCCACCCCTGGAGCAATTGAAGGCCCTTCAGTTAGATCTAGGGCCAGTGAATAGCCAGGCCACCAGGGCCTATGACCGACTAAAGCAGAATCTGTGCAAGAGGCGAAAGCTTCTCCTGGATTCCAGAACCAACAGCATCCAGGGCATCCCTGGCTTCTGGGCCCAAAGTGTATCCTTATTTTTTTCTTGCAGGCAGTATAGAGGAGAGGGCCCTTTGTTTGCACTGCCCATGGTGTAGAATATCACACTCCTACAGCCCCTGGAGAAAATAAATATGGATATCCTGAGCTGGTGTTGGCATAGGCAGAGGTTATACAGAGAATGAGTAGTAAAACAAATGAAAACGATGAGTAATTCAAGAAACTTGTCACAAAGGCTGGTACCTGGAGTAGAATTTTGTTTAATATCATGCTATTTGAAAGCGGTTTGAGTTACCACTATCATCAGACAATCCTGGGCTAGAAGATATTTAGACAAATAAAAATTCTAAAATCTGGCCCCCATGAAACAGATCACCATAATTTAGAATTCAGTGCAGACTGTCTATAATATGCACACACCAGGCTTAACTTAATCTTAAGGATATTCCTAGGCCTACAAATATGATGGGAGAGTGAAGTACCTAGTACATTTCTAGATGACACATCTCTTCCTGTTTACATGGTCAGTAGTTATGCCTAACACTTCCACAGCATCTGAAGGCTCCTTGACCCACAGTTTTTGAACCATCCCCAGCTGTCAGTGATGATTAGTGACCAAGATGAAGACATGCTTACTTACATGACCAATTTGGAGGTGAGTTCCCAAGGCATTTTATCCTCAAGGGCTATACAGTGTCAGGAAGATGGCTCAATGTAAAAGAGGAACTTGCAGGTTACATGGAACATAATTTTTGCTTACTGCTTTTGTTCTGTTAGGTACAGGAACTGTGGCATCCCAGGAACTGCCTCAAGATTAAATTCTTCTTTAGGAACAACCCATACTTCCAGAATAGAGTGGTTGTTAAAGAATATCTTGTGGATATCACTGGTAGGAAGTGGCTCTCAGAATATTTTGTGGACTAGGTAAATTAATCGTGGATAACATGACTTAATTCTTTTCATGTGTTCCTCTCCTTATAGGATTTAGGGCATTCCATTCCACTCCCATTCAGTGGAAGCAGGATTACAAAAGGGAAGCTGACAGTTGCAGGCAGCACAACACCAGCCCAAACTTCTTCAACTGGTTTACTGATCATAACTTTGCAGGCTCAAGCAGGATCACTGAGGTGCATCCCAAAGGCCAATAGAAGCCATCAGAGACCGTGGTTAGTTCATTGGTTTGCTGGGGTATTGGGTCTGAATCTTAAGCTGACCTCCCAGTTTCCTTGTCAGATCATCAGAAAAGACTTGTGGCTCTATCCTTTGTTCTACTACAAGAGAGTGAAGGCACCTAAAGAGGATGAAGAAAGGAAGAAACAGTAGGTGGTTATCTGGGATCTGCAGCACATCTTGTCAAGTACCTACATGTTAACATCACACATATAATTCAGGCTTGTTGCTAAATAGGGATGGCCAGTTTTTCTGGGGGAAACAGAAAATTTGTAGAACAACAGTTAAATACAGGTTAAGGCAGAGCCATTCTACTGAAGTAAGATTATTATCCAGATTTATTCAGACAGAAGCTAAACTGAATATTTAATACCCTTTCCCTACACATGGTTCCATGAGACTCCATTACCCATCTTCCTTCGAACTTCCTGTGTTTTGGCTTTCCCAGATTTCTTTCCACTAGTCATGAATAATTTTGTTTATGGTAAATGATTCCTTGTGAATTTTCTTAGATAGTCCTCAGCATTGGGGTAGGGATTGGGAGATAGAGAATTGTTCTTATGCCATGAAGATAGAAAGTTAAGATCATAAGTCCAGGAGGGATTGAACATATACTAGCCAGCATACTGAAAATTCAAACCAACATTAAATTGTGCAGTGGTAATGGATACTTATTTTGGTGTGTTTTACTGTGCTTCTGAATTTTGACTGCAAGGTGCTGGACCATCAAATTTTACCTAAATTCATTGGTAAACATGTTCTTCAAAAGCATTACTTTAGATTCGGAAGATGGAAGTTCAGCACGGAATATTCATGGAAAACACATGAGGTGGTGAGAAATGATGCAGACATGTCGACAGACAGGTGGAGAAGTGGGAATTGATCATTAAGGGCAAATCATCACTATCATTCATGTCTGACTGTGCAAATATATATAGTTTCTGATTGAGAAAATAAAGAATATAGTGCTGTGTGCGTTTGTAATTATGCTTCCTTAAAGTTGGTCATCATCTTTGACTGTACCATTCAAGTGGGGAGGTAGACATACCTTCTGATGAAGTTGAGTGCTGGAACACATATTTTTCCTTTCAGGACAGAATTGAGGAGAGTGGAGAAAGAAAAGAATCCAGTTAATTTGGAGACTTGTCATTGAAGAGAAATTGAGGAGGGTCCTAGATTACACTTTTTTTAATTGTGAAAATACCATACAGAGGGGTTACAATTACATGGGCAAGGTAATGAGTACATTTCTTATCAAGCATTGTTGCCTCCTCCTTTGTTTCCCCTTCTCATCATCCCCCCGCCCCAAAGCTGTAAATTCTTTTTTTGTCATAACGTCTTGTACATCTCATTTTTGCAATGGGTACACCTGTATCCCTATTTAAACAATTTGTTTTTTCTCTTTCCCTCCACAAAGTATACCAACATCAAATACAGTGAAAACAGGTGTTTTACCACGGGGGAGGGACATACTAAAACAACAAAGCAATCATCTTATAAATATGTTAGAAACAATTGCAAAAAGAAAAAACATTTAAGTCCTTATCTTTGGGTTCATTTCATCTAACATCAACTTATCTGAACATTTATGCTTGTCTCAGACTTACACTAGCAATTGAAAATAAGGAAACCATGGGACCTATGTTTCTTTGGGCCTGGCTTACTTCACTTAATTTTTTCCCTCTTCCTTATGTGAAGTTATTCCAGTTGACTATGTATAGTAAGCCTACCAACCTGTATTCTAGGAGGAAAGGTACAATTTTCATATCCTGACATCAATATGTGTTACTCCCATACCTAGACAGATTGGTCCAGACTTTAACCTCCATCACCACTGTTTTTTCTGTAATACTGGAAATGCACATGCAGGATTTTAAGTCCTAAAACATTTCAGGGGTTCCTAGAGGACTGGTCCCTGCCTTCTGCAAGGGCACAGAAACCTGAAGAATGATCCAAACCTTCAGTAAAGATGTGGATAATCATTTGGGGAATTAGTAAGAACTTCTTACAATGACTTTGAGTCCTATGTGGGGTCAGAAAGACCTAGGTCAGACAAAGAGTGGGTAAGAAAATTGCCAGTATGGGTGAAATCCATGGCATGGCAGTAAAAAGGAAGTTTGTAAAGGTTTGGATTTTTCTGTGTGCCAGTACAAGTCTTCTGACAACTTGGCCAATCAGTCTTCATGCCAACCTGTTACATTATTTTCAAAACTCTTTCTCTCAGATGTCCTGATATTTTCTGTTTCTCTGATCAGCAGTTAGGTCATTGACCACCTCTGACTTCTTCTAAAGGTTCTGTTTTGGTCCCCTTTCCTAGTTTAATAGTGCAGGGGATTATTCCAGAGGCCCTCGGTGATGATCTCAGGTGGGGAGAATCAATGCCCTAACTGGAAGGAATGACTAGCAAGTCCTTCGGTGGTGATTCTCAGAGAGATCCAGCCTCAGAAATTCTATCAACATGAGTTGTGCCAAGACAACCACTGAAGATTGGAATGATGTTCTAAATTGATGGATTCATTCTCATTACCCCAGAAGAAACAGTAGCATAATGGCAAGAACAAAATACTATTTTGAGGGACATAGATGATAGTAGTGGATCACATGCCCTAACAAAAAAATCACCCCAAAAATACTTCGCATCCGGGTATGCATCTTGTTTGTGGTACAGACTTGACTCTCCTTAGTGTCCATGCTGCTCTGAAAGTTTGGCCTGTTGCAAAAGGAAAATACCAATACGTTCTGGAGTTAAGGGTGGTTGAGCTACACTCCATATTCCAGGCCAGAGAGGAGGAACTGGAGAAATTATTCTAGGCATGCTGAGAAAACCTCCATGCTTGGATGCAGCATTAACTTCTAGATGTGACCCTGAAAAAATTCTCTCAATTCTTTAGGTAGAGTCAGATAATTAGCCAATGATGATAAGAAAAGGGATTTCCCTTATCACAGAAGGAGGATCTGCAAACAGTCTTCAGAGCAAGGAGAGTGTGTTAGGAATATGAGATGATCGGAACTGCACCCTTCCCTCTATCCTGCTCGTGGCTCTGGGCCTTTTTCAGATATAGGGACATCTCTAATTAGGTGGATTGCCTTCCAAAAAGGATTAAATCCATATGGTTCCTGATACCTACTAGGCCTTCCTGTGATGGCTTGTTTGTAGGACTTGAGACATGCTCTGCTCCTGTCTCGTGGCTCAGCATGTGCATAACCAAAAGGTAAATCGACATAGGCTAGGATCACATTGTGCAACAGAGAACAAATCCTGGTCAGCAATTTTTAGATACTGAGTTTTTCATAGCCTGCATACGTGGGAACTCTTTTCTTACACTTGATGCTAGCAGTGTGCAATGTGAATTAGATGACCACCTTGCTTTGTTGACTAATGTAAATTGTTCTAGTATCTTAGCTAGCCATACTACCCTCCAAGAACACATGAAGGTGCTGCTGTAGCACATTCTTTCCTGATTGACCTTGCATACTGAAGCTACTTTCATTCACATACTGCATAAAATAAGGAACAGCAAAACCCACACATAGATTTAGTCCCTGTTTTGGTGATAATGGTCTCATCTCATCATCTGATCTTTAGAGATACTTGATTGTCCTGCTCTTTGCATCTTGAAGTATACAATGGCTATATCAGGGCATAGTCAACAGTAATTACCTCCGTTATGACCCTCTGTGTGCAATGTGGCCCTCCTTTTCTATCTTTGTCAGTAAATATACTTAGGCTTTTACAGGCTAGGCATTCATTCAGCTGAACTTCCATCAAGAATTTTCAGGCACTATACCTTGATTGTGCCTGCTTGGTCTCCTGAGGTGGCACATTGGCATGGTTTTCTTTCTGCTGATCTTTCTGTTGCTGCTTGTCCTCTTCTGTGGGTTCCAGCAGCTCCATTATATTCATCTCCAGCCATACATCTGTCTACATTTCTCTTCCTATACCTGTGGATGCTGAATAAATTTCCACAATATCAGCATCACCAGGACAAGGTGCTAAAGGCATATGATGTTTGCTTCAGCCTTAAAATTCCCAGGCCTAAGGGATCCCTGTCCTCCTGCATTGGCTTTCTTGCTTGGCTAATGATAGGATTAATGTGATTAAAAAGCATTCATAATATAGAATTATGTTACTCAAACAGGGATATTTTCCTGTGTACCTTCACTCCTTACTCTCTTCATGCAGAATGACTTCAACACATTATCACAGCTGTTTGAATTCATACATTCTTTTGTTTGCAGTTTTATCCTTAGTGTCCCTTTGAAATGTTAGAACATCAACATGATCTGCACCACAATAATATGTGTAACCAAGCACATTCATGTACATATCAGATTTAATTCTGTATTCCAAATATTTTCTGATTAAATATCCCAATGTAGTATTAGCCATTTGACTATTCAGGTCACTTTCCCTGTTTTGTGGTTTCATTTTTCTTACTTAAAGATTTCTCCTATACTGGAAAAAATGTGTATGGCTCTTTATGGCCAAGTTTTCATGATTTTGTATGTTGTTTTATGTCCTGGTAACATGCTTCCATGCCCAAAGCACACTGTGTATATTTGGAACTTGCCTAGCATGTGTTGGTGTGAAGATTTCTTGGGAATTTGTGTGCATATGTGGCTTCAGTCATATTTTTTTCTAGGAACAAACAGAATACAATGTATAATGACTACAGACCAGCAGAACACACTCTCAAAGAAATGTGTAGATATCTCTGGTGTTACCAAGGATCTTGTATGGCTATTCATGTTGTGTATATGAATGAGTATGTCTATTACCTAGTGACTCTTTGCATCTTCAATAGAAAAATGTTAGCCATACACTCAACTAATGTTGTATATTCTCAAATGATAGGGCCTGTCACAGCCTTCTAAACTCTTCTATTGTTTGTTTTGTGTGTAAATGCCAATCCCTTTGTCATTGATGTCTAGTATGGATTGCTGCATACAGTATTTAGAGTGCTTGGTGGTTACAGACTCATCTGAGTCCAGTGTATTTTAAGTGGTTTTCTGTCCTACACTGAGTAGCTACCAGTCCTCTTGATCCGGTTTTATAATACTCAAGGTCACACTCATGCACATTATCCCTCAAAAGATGTAGAAAATTTATCTGATGAAATTCAGTATGATTCTATGCTTTGTAAAAATAAATA